AAATGTACAACGTTTCGACAAGGTTTTGTCATCATCAGGTACCGTCTCCAGCCATTATTAGTCTCAAAGTGGGTTCCTCGTCATCGAAAATAAATATTATACATATAGTGCACATATATATGTCAAACTTAGTATTAATAATGAAGTTTGAGATCGAAATTTATTTTACATTAATTCCTGACATACATTCAGAATAATCAAATTTAATTTTGTTTTTCTTGGTAACTGAATAAAATAAGTGAGAGCTTTTTTTTTTTCACTTGAATTACACTGCTTATGTAAAATACTCAATGTACAATAACGCTTTCAGTGAAATTTAACACAATACTAAATTTTCGTATCAAATAAATGTAATTTACGTATACAGCTTTCGAATTGGACATTTGTTGTTGTTTAGCTGCACAATAGACTATCCACTCAGTCCACCGCGGGGAATCAAATTCTGGATTTTAGCGTCGTAAGTCCACTTGGACATCATAATAAAATGGAATTAAATGTAGTATTTGCACAACCAAACAGCTCCATGTAAAAAAAAAAAAGAAAGAAAAATTATTAACACTAGCTGCTACCAAGGCGATGTAATATAAATATTACTTACTGCTGTTATGATCTGGTATCCACTCATAGTTTAAACCACTTCTAGAAGTTCTACTAAAAAGTTTAAGCCTATTAATGTCAAAACACAACGACTGTCATAACTGTATAAACACAAACAGGTAGTCCTAACTAAGTTTTGTAATTGTGTTCAGAATTATTGCATGAAATTATGTTCTAATTGTATTTATTTTCTCTTTAGATGAAAAAAGGATTCATCCAAAGGATTATCCTCTTTTGATCCAGCGAACTTGGCCCAGTAAAGAACATTTTGCATTTCATCTTCGTAGAAATCCAGATTGTTTCCAGAAACGGAGAGTAAGTTGAATATCTTCAAATAGTTTGTTCTGTAGTGACAGATTGTGGATTTCATTTGTAAAAGGCACATAAAAGGTCACTTTTTATAAGTGCATATTAAACATTTTCTCAAAGGTTAATGGAAATACATATTAATTAATTTTCATGCAATAAAGTTTATACAATATACTTAAAGACGGTTTTTTTCACGATTTTATCCTTCTGTAAGCTGTATAGTATGGTAACCAAGGTGTACAATAATATATAATCGAGTGTAAGCCTAAATTTTAATTATTTGAATAATAGGAGAATATTCATATTACCATTAGTTAGAACAGATTAATCAGTTTAATGTGCATTTTTTGAATAATTGCTTTTCATTCTTATGATTAATTTTAGGGAAAATGGGACTCAGACTCATCTCTCTGTTTCTGTTTGTACATCTAGAACAGTAACAACATTTACCTCGTTTTTTCTGTCTTTGCACCAAGGTAAGATTTTTTAATATAACAAAATATAGACGTGTTAAGTGGAAGAAATGCTTAATTTAAGATAGTTAGTTAACTATACTTAACAACATCCTTTTACAAGATAATAATGTTAGTCATGTGGACGCCTCCTACTTCTAAACCCAACTGGAGTAAGTAGACTTTGGAATATTAAGCTTGATTATTTTACCTGATTTACATATTTTTTGAACTACAAGTTTAAGTGACGAAATGAAAAAGCAGACATCTCATGAAAAACCTATAAGTTAGTGCTTGAGGCAAATATTATTTTTCTAAAACCAAGTGGAGGTAATAGTTCACTAAATACAAGCTCTAAAGATATTAGTAAAAAAAAAACTTATTAAACGTTTCATTTACTACACGGTACACCATCATCAGGGGAGATTGGAGCTTTCTGAAGTATGTAATAGTTTATTTTATTACAAGTTAGAGCTTTTACAGTAGTGAAGAATATATATTTAAAACAGGTAGGACATTTCGATCACTAGTGCGATCATTCTGAAGTAAACAAGTATTACTATGTAATAGTTTAATCCAAACCAACAATATCTATCTATATATATATATAGTATTAAGTTTTACGGTGTTTTATTCAAATTTTGTTTAGGGATAAAACCAGTAATATGTTTTTCAAATTTTTTTCCCCTTTCTAAGCAATATCAGGTTTTGCTTGGTTTATCTAGCATCGTTAGGTGGATACAACTAAATAATTGAACAAAACCGTTATGTGTTTAGTACCAACAGCAATACCGCGTCTCTAGCTGACAAAATAAAAACAAGCAAAACACAACCGTTAGATTTTCGTTGCTTGTAGTTAAGTACAAAACTCCACAATGGCTATCTGTGCTCTGCCCACCACGAGTATCGAAACCCAGTTTTTAGTGTTCTAAGTCCGCAAACATACGGCTGAGCCACTGAAGGCAACTGTTAGATACGAAAATATTAAAATAAATATAATTTTACACCTGAATGCTGGTTAATTCTAGGTTTTTGATGTTTAATAACGACAGTTTCTCTGATTTACCCCCTCCCCAGTGGATCAGCGGTATGTCTGCAGACTTACAACGCTCGTGGTGAGTAGAGCACAGATAGGACGTTGTGTAGCTTTTTGCTTAACTACAAACAAAGCATTCTTTGATTTTTCTTCTTACTGTATGATTTTCTCTGCCAACGATTTTGACATAAGAACAACAACAACAAGAGTGATTATTCTGACCCATGTGCACACACAAGATAAGGGGTTGTTAAATGTTTTATTAATCTTGTAGACCGTTTTCACCATTGTACGAATTACCACACTTTCTACACGTAGTTTGATACACGGATCCTGAAATGTCCATGTTAACAATTTTGTGCGATAGAATTAGGCCTAGTTTTCTTGCTGGTATGACGGAAAGGTTCACCTCTAAATCCACGTTGTATTGTTTAATTGTTCTTAACCACGTTTTTTTGGATAGCACGTGAAAGCCTGGATATATATGGTGTAACACAATAAAATACGTCTTTCTATATCGTTGATTGTACCTTCAGGTCGTGATTCATTTTCTAGGGATGACAACGTTTTATTTATGACTATGAGAGGATGCTTGTTTTGAAATTTTAGTTGTGATTTAAACACATTTATCTGTTGACAAAGCATGACAAGAAGAGAAAATATTTTTAGCTGTTTAAAAGAGATTTTTGACGGTCCCTATTTCTTGTATAGGACTACAGAAAGAATTCAATGAACATGCTCCCAGATGTGTCTTTACGAAAAAGAATGCCATGAAATTTACTTTCGCTTTTTTCAATCAAAATATTTCAAAAATAAATTTCCCATCGACTTCATTTTCGACTGTAAACATGTGAGTTGAGTGCTTTAAAATGTGAAAGAAAGTAGTCGATATGATGATTTTCCTTAAAGGCAGCAAAAATATTATCTACATAACGGATCCATAAAATAGGAGAATGGAGTGAAGTGGAAATACCAATTTAGATCTTAGATCTTCAAACTTGCCGTAGTGAATATTCTAAAATATAAAATGTTACGAGAAACAGAAAAACTGAAAAAATTCTTTGATGATGGAAACATGTAAGAAAGACCTAGGAATCATTGAGAAAAAAAAAATTCCAGAGTACAGTTAATAGATTTTTTTACGTTAAAGTCCGCCATAAAGACAGCCTGGTTGGAATCTTTTAACGTACTGACGGAATATTCAGAGATTTTTACAAAAGAAGAAGCTTTAGTGATATAAGGGGCAAATACTCGTACGGTGTTTTTTTTTTTGAACTAACCTCTGTTACCATTTCAACTTGCTTAGAAAAGCATTCAAATAACAAGCCTGTGCTTTTTTTAAAAAAATTTTGGCGTCTTATTTTTATAAAATTGACACAAAGTTTTGTAATATTTTAACAAACATGTATTTTTCCAATGTTTAGCAGTTTTCATAAGATACCTTTTAAAATGCCCCAGCCCCCACCATAGCGGTAATACTGAAGGTTTATAACACTAAAACTCGGATTTTGATACCCATGGTAGGCACAACACAAATAGCCCATTGTGTAGCTTTCTGCTTAACTACAAACAAACAAACCTTTTAAAATCTTCTGGCGCTCTTAATTCATTTTTAGCTTTTAGCATAAATTTCACTTTACATTGAAGACTTACGAATTAAAGAAAATCTTTCTTTTTGAGGATGATAAAATCTAATTATCTCTTCTCATCAATAAACATATTATACAAGGCAAATATCTCTATTGTCAGATTTGATAAGCAAATGAGAAACAATAGTGAATGAATGACTCCTGTTAAGTCACTAAACGCTACATTAACCCCACGCTAAAAAAGGAACTATGTAAATTTTATGAAAGTTCAATGTTTTCACAAATACCAACCTATGTGAATCTACATACAATGCTGAAACTAGTTAAAATAAAAAAAGATTTAATGAACATTTAAAAAAAACATCACTTGTAAAATAACACAAAAAACGTAACCATAAATAAATCACAAAAACATAAAGTTATTTGATAAAGAACAATGTATACAACAGAAAAATTAAGGAAGCATTACTGATAAAAATACACAAACCATATTTTGTTCCCTTCACCTTTATTGATCACATGCAACTTTTGTTTAAAAAAATTAGCATCTTCCATTATAATTAAAACTCAGTTAAGGGTTTCAAATTACTTTCAATAATCACAGTGTACTGGGCCCCCCAGTGGCACAGTGGTATGTCTGCGGACTTACAACGCTAGAAACCGGGTTTCGATACCCGTGGTGGGCAGAGCACGGATAACCCTTGTGTAGCTTTGTGCATAATTAAAAGCAAATAATCACAGCGTACTGTAAAAGAACTTTCACGTACAATTAATTATATTAAACCTCATTTTAACTGTCATCAGTCATGTGATATCAATTATTTATTTAGACTGATCTGGAAATTACAGTGGTTCTTTTATTAACAGATGGTAAGATTGTTTATAAGCTGTATAGCAAAGAGAGCTATGAATTTCATATAGCATAGTGAAACACATTGTTAAATATAAGTGTGGTTTATTTGCCAGTGGTCTTTTTATGTTGGGGTCCATATTTTATCAAACTATACTTTAATAGAGAAGTATTAGGTCGTTAAGAAATTAATGTCGCGTTTTGGAACACTTTCATTAACCACCCCTAAAAAAAAACGTGCATCACGTATAATAGATAAACGAACCACCTAAACGTCACGTTGGTCTAGCCTATATAATGTGTAAAGTTTAGTATACTCTAATCTTCTATAGTGATGGTACACGATGAGACACACATTCGGCATGTAATGCTGCTTAAATACAAGAAGAAACAACGCCTCTGTAGTTACAAAAAGTATCAAAGAAGTTTATGGAAATATTTTGAACGTTTGTAAGTGTGAACGATGGCTCAGCAGATTTCGTTCAGGTGACTTTAGCCTTAAAAACTGTGATGGCAGACACCTACATGTTGGAATTGACAATGATGCTATGAAGACGCTTGTTGAGTGTAACCCAAGGCAACACACTCGTGAAATGGCCCCGAAATTGCATGTCTCTCATGAAACAATACGTAAACATCTAAGGAACATGGGGAAACTCCATAAAGAAGGTGTTTCGGTGCCTCACGAACTCTCCGATGATCATCGTTTCCAACGTGTGAACGTTGCTTCGTCTCTTCTGGCACTTAATGCGCGTGAACCATTTTTGGACAGAATTTTTGCCAGTGATGAAAACTTTATTCTCTATGCGAATATTAAACACCAAAAAATAATGGCTCAGTCCTAGACAAACCACTTCCGACCCCAAAACGTGGACTCCATCCGCAGAAAGTGATGCTTTGCATTTGGTGGGACATCGAAGGAGTAATACATTTCGAACTCCTCCACCCACAGCGAACTGTCAATGCGGAGATCTATAATCAGCAACTGGAACGTTTGAATCAAGCCCTTCATCAGAAACGCCCTTCACTCGTCAATTGGAAAGGTGTTCTTCTTCTCCACGACAATGCACGTCCACATATGGCACATTAGACGCAACACAAGATTATAGAGTTGGGTTAGGACGTTTTCCCCCACCCACCATATCCTCCAGATATGGCACCATCAGATTACCATCTTTTTCGTTCACTGCAACACCATCTTAATGGGAAAACGTATGCAAATATGGAAGGTGTTAAAGAGGACATCGACATGTTTTTGCTTCAAAGCCAAGTGATTTATTTAATCAGGGCATTAACAACCTGACGGAAAAGCACCTTTGATAAGAATGGAGCCTATTTCATTTAATAAGTGTTTTGTTTTGATATATAAGAGGTCGGGTTTTTTTCATCTAAAAAAAAGCGACATTAATTTCTTGACGACCTCATACATTTATAGTTAGTGCATAATAACTTACTTGTGTATTGTTGTTAGTTAATGGTTAAATTGGAGTTACCTTGATAGTTTGTGTATTGTAGTGTATTAATATAATATTGTACTTTCCTAAGACTG